GACTAGCAGTATCAGCATCACCTGGGAACTTATTGGAAATGCAAATTCTTAGGCTCACCCCAGACCCCCTGCAGCTGAAACTGTGGGAGGGGACTCAGCAGTCTGTTTCAACAAACTGTGCAGTGATTCTAATGCACAGTGACGTTTGTTAGGTGGGAGACATTTCTCAGGATTCCTCAGTAAGTTTTCATTTACAATCCTATAAGCACTGAACCCAGTGCTTGCTGACAGTTCAGAGATTCCAAGAAGGCTCAGCGAGCTCTGAAGTGTGTCCTCTAACCACATGCCACAATGTTTGGGATTCCTGCATTCGAAATTTGTTTCTTTAGGATCTTTTTACTGCTCTTTTTTAAGAAAGTAAAAGTTCTATTCGGTAAGTTCACATACAAGTATCAGTGACATCTGTCACATTCTGCTTCCCATGGGTAGAAAGGGAAAGAGAGGACATCATTGGAAGGGGGAGTGGCTGAGCAGAGGTAGACATTGCCGGGGCTGGTAATTCTAGAGCTTGTGAAGTCACTACAGCGTAAATGTTCATTCGAAATGGACCCTGTAGCTTCACTTAAAATAAGGAGAGAGGAGGAAAGAGTAAGTCCAGGTGGGCCCACGGTGGGTGAAACCTCAGTTTACATGCGGCCACCAACTGGCTAAAATCTTAAGTCACTCAGTTTCTGTAGAATATGGTGATGGATTGTTTCCCTATTAGTATTTGATCGCAAGTGCAGAAAATCTCACTCAAACTGGTTTAAACTGTTAAAGAAAAAGGTAGTGTGTTGGCTTTTGCAAGTAAAAAGTCTAGAGATGGTTCTGAGTTCAGAAACAGCTGTATCAGTGTTCAGAAGAGCCCACAAGAACCCAGTTCTGCATTTTACTCTCTTCTGCTCTGTGTGTTGGCTTCATTTTCAGACTTTGCAAGTTGGCGAGATGGCAGCCCCAGCTCCAGCCAGCATGTCTCCATAGTTCAAATCTGGATCTGAGGGCACACCCAGGCGCCCAAGCAAACCCCCAGAGTGAGACCGATTGGCTCTGATTTGCCTCCCTAGAGTGATGTGTCTGTCCCTGGACCACAGGGAAACTGATGCTTTGGATCCCATGCCAAGCCTGGTCATACAGAGTCCCTGGAACAGGGGGTGGTGGGGAGGTACTGTCAGCGCCGTGAAAACCACAGGACTGAAGGTGGGGAAGGGTGGTTCCCCCACAAACATTGGAGGTGGTTACTGGAAATGGGGTAAATGAACAGGGGCCGGCCAAGAAACCACACACGTCCACCACCGGGATCTCAGTTCCAACATTCTGTGATTCTGTGAGGTCTTCCCGTGGCCCAGAGCGCTGGCACAGAAAGCCACATTTACCAGACTGCCCTCCAGATGGAGCGCAAAAAGGCCTGGGGAGGAAGGAATCCTGCTTCTATTTAGGATGACTGAACTCATACCCTTCAGCAGCCCTGACTGGAAGGGCCCACCCTTCTGGTAAACCAGTCAGGCTTCTCATTTGGGAATGATCTCCAGGCAGAACTTTCCACACTCCAGCTGGCTCTGCCTCTGCTCACCTCCAGCTCCCCGTTCACCTCCAACTGCCTGCCCTCCATGCTCCTCTCAGCATATCCCTTCCATTTCTTCTCTTCTCTTCCCTTCTCCCGTCATCTCTCTGTCTCGGGTCTGGTTTTCTTTGCTGCCTCTCTCTCTCTCTCCCTCTCTTCCTCTCTCCCTCTCTTCCTCTCTCCCTCCCCTTCCCCATCCCCATCCCCCAACCCAGCTTTCTTTAACTTTTTTTTTCTTTCTCTATTCACTCTCTGTTTTTCTTTGTCCCTGTCTCATTCATTCTTTGTCTTATGCTGTTTCTTCTCCTCTAATTACCTGCCTGTCACTTTCTCTACCTGTCGATTTTATTCTTAGTGTCTGCTTCCCTTTCTCATCTGCACTTGTCTGTATTTTTCTTTCTTTCGGAAACTGACGATTCTTACTGTGCCAGACAGGACTTTAAAATGTTCACTAGGTGCTGGCTGAGTGGCTCAGTTGTTTGGAGAGTCATGCCATAAAAAAAAAAACAAAAAAAAGGAAAAAGGTGGTGAGTTTGGTTCCCAGTCAGGGCATGTACCTAGGTTTGGGTTCAGTCCCTGGCCAGGGCAACGGATCAATGTGTCTCTTTCACATCGATGTTTTTCTCTCTTCTCTCTCTTTCATCAATAAACATATACTCAGGTGAGGAATTTTTTTAAAAAGTATATTATAAAATGTTCACTAATACTGTTACTCCGTATGTTCCTTAGTCAACAGACAAACAGCTTACAAAGATAAAGGAGAGACCTTGAAAGGAGGAAAATTTAGAAAAAGGAAGCATTGATGAGAAACTTGAGGCAGAGCACTGTGAACAGGGGTTATTCAAGCCAAAAAAATGCATGCACACACAAAGTCATAAGCCACCCTCAAGCAGACACTGAGCTTCTCCATCACAATTACACTTGGGTTTGGTTGAAGTTTTATTTTCTTAGTTTAATGTATCTTAACTAAATCACCACTCCCCGGGGTTCTGAGCAGTTTACACACAACTGATACACAATCTCAGTGTCACAGCTTGCTAGGTTACAACCAGGCAATGAATGAACTGACCTTGCCTTAGAGTTCTCTGTGAGTCCCACTCCACAGAGAGCTCAGCCTCTATTTTTTTCATGGTGGCCACCCAGCTCCTGCTCCTCATCTCTGATGCCAAATTCTATAAGGGCTAATATTGGGCCCTTCTTAACATTAATCTTCAATTTCCAATTCAGTAGGAGACATTGCTGGGGTTTTGAAAAATAGAATGTGACATTAAAAGGAAATATCTATCCAACAGACTTTGTAGCCAGATTTATTTCCATATGCATTTAAAAAATTGCTTCACATAGCATCCTGAGGACCGTTATTTTAATCTTCTAAAGAGTTAGTCCTCATTTAGCTGACCCTTCCTTTTCAAAGGCCAGGGTATTATATTGGCTTCTGTAGTCACTAGCATGTCCTTTAACTTCGACAATGTAAATGGCAAAAAGAGTGGAAGGTCATAGGACTTTTTGTTATTGTTGTTGCTTTCTGGTTTTTTTGTTTGTTTGTTTGTTTGTTTTTAGAGAGGGAAGGGAAGGAGAAAGAGAGAAGAGAGAAACATCAATGTGTGGTTGCTGGGGGTCATGCCTTGCAACCCAGGCATGTACCCTGACTGGGAGTCGAACCTGCGACACTTTGGTTCACAGCCCAAGCTCAGTCCACTGAGCTATGCCAGCCAGGGCTTGCTTTCTGGTTTTAACACTAAACTGCTCTATAATGGTGAACAGATTATCGACGTCTGTGAGTCCCACTTTCCATGTTAGTAAAATAAAAAATACCAGGTGTCTAGCACAGCACCTGGTACTTGGCAGGCACTGATTACCTGTGTTCACTCATACAAGAGAGTGATGCTCAGGTCGGCCTGCCCATTAGAATCTCCTGGGAAGTTTTCAAACATCCTCAAGCCTGGGCTGTAGATCAGACCAATCACGTGAGAATGTTTGGGTCTGAGACCTGGCAGCAATATTTTTTAAAAAATCCTATTACACCCCTGGCTGGCGTAGCTCAGTGGATTGAGCACGGGCTGCGAACCAAAGTGTTGCAAGTTCGATTCCCAGTCAGGGTACGTGCCTGGGTTGCAGGCCATGACCCCCAGCAAACGCACATTGATGTTTCTCTCTCTCTCTCTTTCTCCCTCCCTTCCCTCTCTAAAAATAAATAATAAAATCTTTTAAAAAAAATCCTATTACACATCCCATGCCAGGTAATTCCAATGTGCAGTCGGGATGGAAAACCATTGATTTAAAAACATTAGCTATGTGCTTGTTCTGTCCTTGATAAAGGGTCAAAGCCTCCTTTTTCCAAGTGTGCTTGAGGGCCCAGCATTGAAACCTGGGCCACGATTCTCACAAATTACTTCCTCCAATGTCCAAAGATTGCCTATTCCTATAAGCTCATCTAAAATGAAAAATGAACAATAAAACATTCTTTATTTGGTCAACAGGAAGTTCATGTTAAGCATTCAGTTCAGCAACACGCACTGACTATTTTTCAGGTACTGAGAGCTGTGCTAAAGCAAAACTCTCTACCTTCAAAAAATAATTTCTAACTTCAAAAGGCACACCACAAGTAAATAGCAATGCTTTGTAAAAACATAAATTAGAATGAAATAAAATTAAAACTTCCCTTAGAGGTTGATGCCTTTTACTACCCGCCCTGTGAAGTTAACTTGCTGCTGGATATCCTTCTGCCTGATTTGGGGGCCTGAGAGGAACAGCAGTTGGGAACAGGAAGTTTGCAACGATGTGTGGAGGTTTGCTGAAAAATTCTTTGCTAAGGAAATAATTTCAATGGTCAATATAACAAAAATACAATGGGCTGACAAAACAAACAAGCTTTGTACTTAATAAGACACAGTTTGGGGTTTTTTTTTTTCATTGTTTTTAGAAAGGACGAGAAAGAGAATCATCAATGTGAGGGAGAAGCATTAATTGTTTGCCTCCCAGACCCTGGCCGGGGAGGGGGTGGGGCCAGGGTCGGGGGAGAATCACATGCACTTGCCCATGCCCTCCTTTGGGGGAATCTAACTGGCAACCTAGGTGTGTACTCTGACTGGAAATCGAGCCCACCACCTTTTGATGACGTGACACACTCCAACCAACTGAGCCACACCAGCCAGGGAAAGACATAGTGTTTTTAATCTAAAAAAATTATGTGTGTACATTCATGAATTTCCTCCTCATTTTGATTCCCTTGGCACACTCTGAAACTGCTATGTTTTCCTTTGTTCTTCACTCTGCGTTCGTTCTCAGTCTGAAAAAAACACATAGCCTCAGAAAGGAAATATGTACAAAAGGGGGTCCAGTTCAGGAGAGGCCATCAAAGGCTCCTCTGAGGTCCTGGGCCTTTAAGCCGCTGCTGGGTCACGTGTTGTTCCCACATCCTGTTCTTTTCCCCTTACTCTCTGGATCCCCACTCTCACAGTCTGTGCTTGAGGAAACACTACCCCAAAGCTTGTTTTCTGATGGGCTGTTCAACCAATATTGCGCTCAGAAGAATTGAAACTGGGGTCCAGCGTTCATGGCCTGTCCAGTGGGAAAGATTTGGAGCCAAGAGGCCAGGATTCAGACCCAGTTTTATTCCTTCTCCGGACCCAGCAAGCAGGTAACAGCTCTGAACTTTCATTTGCTCATTTATAAAATTAGAGGTACTAATATTATCTACCTCACAGAATTACTGTAAAGATTTAGTCAACTACGTAGGTTTGCATCATGCTATTCAAATGTCCATTATTTTGTAACACTCTGAACCTATTTTATTTTTTAAGATTTTCTTCCTTTATTTATTTTTAGAGAGAAGGGAAGGGAATGAGAGAAACATTGATTCATTGCTTCCCACATGTCTCTAACTGGGGACCTGGCCCGCAACCCAGGTATGTGCCCAAACTGGGAATTGAACCCATGGCTTTCAGTTCATAGGCCAGCACTCAGTCCACCGAGGTATACCAGCCAGGGCTATTTTCTTATTCTTTTAAAGTTTGGAAGCATTTTACCTTTAATATGAAAAATTTATAAATGATGACTTAAATGAACTAACCAAACTGTTTCTACAAACTTGACCTTGCACACCTCCCAACACACACCTTAGAGCAACCCTGCCCTTTCTAATAGGTAACCCTGAATACTCCCAGAAGAAAGATTTCAAAACACATTACTTTGTTCTTTTTTCTTTCCCCAGGTAATTTATTACAGAGATCTGGCGGGGCCCACAGTGAAGCCCGCTGGCTCTGCAGGGGGTGACACGGGCAGAAATGGATCTTGTTTTCAAACCGAACTGAAGGAAGAGCAGAGAGTTGGCGTTTTGACTGTACGAGAGACCGCTCTGTGCAGCCCTCCCTGCCCACACACGGGGAAGTATGGTTCAGAGTTTGAGAGTCATCACAGCTGCCTGCACTGACCTGACTCTCCACCATCAGCTAATGGGAAAGCTGGCCTCCCACACACCAGCTGCGTCCCAGATCAGTGCTTTCCCAGTGAGCAATGAAAAGCAAAGGCAAGCACAAAAACAGGAAGAAATAGCTTTCCAAGTACCCTTTCATCGAGAAGAATAGAAACTGCAAACAGTATTTTCATCGTTAGTTATCATGCGATGTTCACCATGTTCCAGGGAGATTGAAGGTGAAGCTCTCTCAGCCCCCCACCCTACCTACCCACCATGATCCACCCACACTCACTCATCTGTAAAACTGAACTCGCATAAACCCCCAGGGAATGTCCAGATTTCAGAGTGTATCTACCTGTAAAATATGGAGGAAGCAACTTTCTTTATTCTTGTCTTCTACAAAGGAGTAAAGGGAAGACAGTAACATTGACTGAGCACCTGGCATGTGCCAAGGCATTTTCATGGACAGCATTTAATCCACATTATGACACTTTGAGATAACTATTCTTATGGTTATCGATGTAGAGACTTAATCATTTCAGAATGATTAACAAATTTATTCAAGATCACATAGCAAATAACGGGTAAAGACAGCACTCTAACCCCATTGTACCTTATTTTTCCCATGAATTCATCTTCTAGAATGTGAAAGGAGAGAAGTATGGTATAAACTATCAATACGGTTTTTTCAGTTGGTGAAATAGAAAAAATATTGAGCTTATTTTAAAATCAATCAATCAATCCTGGTTGTTTCTTCCTAAAAGGCAACTTTGACTAGCAAAAATCCCTAAAAAATGAAGCCCTGCTGGTATTTGAAAGTGACCACATTCTTTTCAGTAGGTGTCAATGGGTCAAATTCTGACATTCCACTGAAATCCCCAGGAAGGCTAGAAAATATTACCATTTCTGAAACCATGAGATCTGTCAAGGGGGATAAAACAGCCTTTCATTAGAAAGTGAACACACAATCATTTAGCTCACGAGCGTGTCAGTTGTGATGTGTGTTCAGCAGTTTACTGCCAGTAACTGAAGTTAGCAAGTGGTTCCTCAGATATGATAACATGCTTATTCTAGTATACTTCCTACATTTTTTGTGTTTTTGAAAATTTACATGAACAAAATATGTTTCTTTTTAATTGTCGCTATTTTTATTAAAGCATAATTGGAGACAGTGAAATGAGAGACGTTAAGTACATGGTTCGATGAGATTCGGCAGCCGCACACCTTTGGGGGACCCGCACCCACATGATGCAGAACACCGCCCCGACCCCCGACGTGGTTCCCGAGCCCTGCCCAGCAGTGTCCCCTGCGCCCCTCCACAGGCAGCCACTGTCCTGGTTCTCTGCCATAGACTGGTTTTGCCTATTTCAGAACTTGTATATAAAAAGGAATCATGCAGTGTGTACCCCTTTGTATCTGGCTTCTTTTACTCTGTTTCACGATATTCAGGCCCATGCACATGTTGTGTGTGTCCAAAGCTATTTTTTCTGAGTAGCATTCCTTTGTGGCAAAGTAGCCATTTTGTTTATTCATTTTCCGGAGGATGGGCATTTGAGTTTTTTCTAATTTGTTGCTGTTCTAGTTGTTGAGGCCAAGGCTGGGAAAAAAGAAAAGAGCAAGGTAAAATTTTTTGAAATGTGATTTTTTTTTGGAGTATTCAGTGTAATGAATAAAGCTGCTATGAACGTTCATACACAAGTCTTTTCTGTGTCCAGTGTTTTCATTTCTCCTGGGTAAATACCTAAAAGTGTATTTGCTGGGTCATAGGGTGTGTGCGTGTTTAACTTCATAAGAAACGTCCAGACCGATTTTCAAAGTGGTTGTAGTGTCCCATTCCTGCCAGTCACACATGAGAGTTCTTGTTTGTCCACATCCTTACCTGCGCCCGGCGCTGTCAGTCATGGTGTCACGTTGTGGCTTTCACTCGCATCTCTTACGTGTCCGAAGGTGCTGATACACTTGCTGTGCTTGTTGGCATGTATTCCTCCGTAAAGTGCCTGCCCCAGTCTTTTGCCCACTTTATTTGTTTTTTTTAACTTAAAAATCATGTAATCTCAATAGCCAGAGGTAACCATCATTAACATTTTGGGCTTTTTCTAGGCAGTTACTTGTTTATGCAAATACATTCTTTACAAAAATGAGTTGACATTGTATAAACCGTTCTGTAGTCTTTTGTTTTTCACTTAACAATTGGTCATGAACTAGGAACATCTTTCCCTATCAATAAATACCCTTCTGTGCCATTTTTTTTTTTAAATAAACAGCCGTTGCAGCTTTAGTCACAACAGCCCAAACAGGATACTACCCAAGTGCCTTTCGCATGGCGGGTGGGCAAACAAAATGTGGTGTCTATCTGTACAGCGGAACACTACCCAGCAATAAAAGGAACACACTATAGATAAACGTGACACACATATGAAACCATTATGCTGAGTGAAGAAAGCCAGACCCAAAAGTGTAAACACAAACTGTAGAGAGAAGGCAAACATAGTGACCGAAAAGCTCTTGGGGCTGAGGGCTGTCCTGCCAAGAGGCAAGAGGGAACTTTCTAGGGTGATGAAAATGCCCTATAAATTGATTGTAGTTACAGTTTCCCTTGTATATGCTTATGTCAGAACCCATCAAATCGTACATTTTAAATGGATGCATAGTGCTGCCAACTTATAGCTCAATACAATTGATGTCAACAAAAAGCGCTGTGGAGGAGCTGCAGTGCAGGATGCAGGCCGGGCACTGACAGACGTGGAGAAGCACGGCCAGCAACTGAAGGACAGAGAAGAACTGGTGGTAAGAATCCTGGAGGGATAGTGAGGTAAAATAAGAACATAGAGCTTCAAGCTCAGAAAAAAAAGGTTTTTAAATTAAATTAGGGCTCTTAGTTAAACCCTACCAATAGTTTAGGTCAAAAGAGTGAGTCATCACCTCATAGCATACAAAAAAGTTAGAACAGCTGGAATCCGGGCTCCAAGTAAAGCCAGGGCTCCAGCTCTGTGGCGCCCCTACTGCCTCACATCCCCCCCCTCCCCCCGCCCCAACCTCACAAGGGCGGAGGGCTGGGCTTTCTACTTGGCCTCCTATGGATGGAGTTAGAGTTTTCTTCTGTGATCTTTGGCTGGCATAGAATAGGTGCTATCTTTATCAGTTTTCTGTTTTTCTAGGCTGCCCGATTTTGGTCCTTGGCTGGAGCCAGCAGGCCTTTCAGAGCATATGAACGCCACTGGCATTTCCAGGTTGCTGGCTTCTTCAGATTCAGTCTGGAATACATGAGGCAGAAAGAAAGCCAGGAAGCTCACCACCTGATCCTCAGGTCTGCGGCCGGTCTGCCTTCTCTCCACCTTTCAGAGGAGTCTTTTTACCTTTACTCTATTGAAAATGTCCAGAGTGTTAGCTGTACTTAGCAGGAGAAGTAAGGGGAAAGTATGTCTACTCCATATTCCTGAAAACAGATGTCTCCTTGACTACTTAAAAAATCTTTGTTTTTCTTTTTATCATTGAGCCATAGGAGTTGTTTTTATATTCTGGATGTTAGCCCTTTGTCAGACATGTATGTTGTGACTACTTTCTCCCATGTATAGCTTCCTTATTCAATGTTTTAACAGTCTTTGATGAACAGAAGTTTTAAATTTCAGTTAAGGCCATTTTATCAACTTGTTGCTTTTATGATTAGTGCTTTGTGGGTCCTGACAAAGAAATATTTGCCTACCTCTAAATTGCAAAATACCCCCTGCCCACTTTTTTCTAGAAGCTTTATGGTTTCTGCTTTTACATTAAAAGCTATGATCCATCTCAAATTAATTCTTGTGTTTGGTGTGAGCTATCAATTGCAATTGATTTTTTTCTGCATAGATAACAAGTTGTTTCAGCACTGTTTGATGGAAATATTTCCTTTTTCCATTGAGTTTCATTGGTCAAAAATCAATATGTGTGGGTCTACTGTTGTGCTATATTCTAATGTACTGATCTATTTGTCTGTATTTATGCCAATACTATATTGTCGAGCACCATAGCATTATAGCAATCTTGAAATAGTGTACATCCTTCAACTCAGATTTTTTTTTTTAGAATTGATTCATCTCTTTTGAGCCTTTCAAATTTCTATAAAAACTTATAGTCCATTTGACAGTTTCTACAAAAAGTCTTCTAGATTTGTATCAAATCTTTACATCAATTCTTGGAGAATTGACATCTTAACAGGAAATAGTCTTTTCATTTGTTCATTTTCTTTGATTGTCTTAGCAATATTTTGTAGTTTTCAGTGTATATATCATATATATTTTATTAAGTGCATACCTAAGTATTTTAAGTTTTTATATTATTTTTTCTTTTTTTGGAAGAATTTATTTATTTATAGAGAAAGAGGAAGGGAGAGAGAAAGAAAGGGAGCAAAACATCAATGTGTGGCTGCCTCTCTTGTGCCTCCAACTGGGGAGCTGGTCCACAACCCAAGCATGTGCTCTGACTGGGAATTGAACCAGTGACCCTTCGGTTCACAGGCCAGTACTCAGTCCACTGAGCCACACCAGTCTGAGAGAGTTTTTAATATTATTTTAAATGGTACCATTTTAAGTTTAATTTTCACATGTTTATTTGCTAATATGTATACATCAACTGAGTTTTATGTATTGATCTTGTGTCCTGAAACCTTCCTAAATTCACTTATTAGCCCTAGTAGCTTTTGTTAAGTTGCTTAAGATTTTCTATGTGCATGATTGTGTCATCCGCAACTAAGGACAGTTTTATTCCTTCCTTTACAGTTTTATGCCTTTTATTTCACATTCTTGTTTAATTACACTGTAGAAGACCTCTGGTAAAAGTATCTAAAAACTGTACTAGGAGTGGTGAAATGGGCATACTTGCCCTGATCTTGATCTTATGGGAAAAATGTTTTAATCTTTCACCACTAAGTATGTTGTTGACTATAGACGTCTTTTATAAAGTTAAAGAAGTTTCTTCCTTTTATTGTGTCTGCTGGGAGGTTTTATCACAAATGAGTGTTGAACTTTGTCAGATGCGTGTATGGAGAGGATCATATATTTTTTCTTCTTCTGTTAAATTGCATCAGTTTGTATGCAGATGTTAAACTAACATTGTGTTCTTGGAATAAACCCCATTTGATCATGAGGATTATTCTTTTTCTATGTTGCTGGATTAAATATGCTGAATTTTCATTAAGGACTTCTACATCTGGGCTCATGATAACATTGGTCAGTAGTTTCCCTTTTTGCTCTGTCTTTTTATGGTTTTGGTATCAGAGTAAGTCTGGTCTCATAAAACACATTTGTAACTGTTCCCCCCTCCTCTATTTTCTAAAACAGAGTTGTGTAGGATTAGTATTATTTCTTCCTTAAATGAATGAGATAATTCATCAGTGAAGTCTTTTTTTGCATGTATGCAGGAATTACAGTCCTCCCTGACAATTTTCCAGTGCCTGAAAACAGTTGTTTTGTGTGTTTTACCTAGTTTTATATTTGTTTGTAGCATTGAGGCTGTGTGGTACCAGTAATTTTATTATGGCCAGGACAGGCCTATTTAAATTGATTTTATTGTTAAGATAATTCTAAATTCAATAGATTCAATATTACCTCAATGTTGAACCTACCTCAATAAATTGTACTAATTGCATTTCTATTGTACCCTCCCCCAAATTAAATACTAATATAATTAGTATAATTCAATATTAGCAAAGACTCATACAATGAACAGCAGTCTAGATCAAATAATTAATAACATTACATTTTCTTCAATTCTAATGTGCTTTCTTGTACAGAATACAAAGCAGTGAAGTTATAGGTAGAGTTAGTTTGCATAACTCTGATATGCTCCAGGAGTGTGTTTTCCATTTTCCCCATTATGCTTATTACAGGAGGTTAGAAGTTCGAAAGCCTCACATTTTTCAGAAAGGTTATTGCAAAACTTGTCCATTCAAAGAAATGTGGCTATGGCTCTGGTACCTCAGCAGAAACAAGGCATCCCCCAGCAAAGTGTACAGAAACTTCGCCATCGCACCTGTGCCTTCCGCATGGCCGTCCCTGCAGCTTCTCCTCATGGGTTAGACCACATAGGAAACAGTCACTCTCCAAAGTGGCACTCAGTACCCAGGTTCAGTGGGGGGTTGTTAGGCACATATCTCTCTGCATCAGGAACTGTGCTGGGAACCTAATACTTTGTTTATTGGGGCTGCTCTGGGCCTAAATTTATTTTCTTCAGCAATCAAATTACTTCAGCTTCTGATTTGGAATTAAGTGGGAATATGAATCAAGTGGATAAAGTAAAACTGAACACCACTGGGGAGTTGTGCTTCTTGTTGGGTGAAATATTTTAGCCTATGCTCCCTCAAAGCACCTGGCCCCACCCTGTGGACCACCCAAGGTCTGAAAGCTGCATCCCACCCCTGGGTCCGAAGGGAGAATTCTTCAGAGCTGGGGATTACCGTGGCTATCCCAGTGTGAACTGTGAAGAAGGAATATATTTAAAAAAAAAAACGAACACCCTCCCCCCGACCCGCATTACAGATTGTTATATTGACTCTGTAATTAAGGGTTACGTTACATCCTTTGAAAAATCTTAAATGGTATTACAATGCAAAGTACATGTAAAAACATGCCAACTGACTAGCACCAGGGAAAACTGTTTTTTAAAAAATGCATTGTAATATAATGAAACAGTATG